GGAGAAATTAACCATCCCCCCTCCTTTCTCCCACCACCTCCTGGTGGATCAAGATCCAACCCCCTTGGAGCTAAAAACAAGGAAAATCAATCAGGTTCTTAAAAATAAGGCTTTTAATTAAAGAAAAAGGTAAAAATCATCTCTGTAAAATCAGGATGGAAAATAACTTTACAGGGTAATCAAACTTAAAGAGCCCAGAGGAACCCCCTCTAGCCTTAGGTTCAAAGTTACAGCAAACAGAGGTAAAGACCCTAGTAAAAGGTACATTTACAAGTTGAGAAAACAAAGATAAAACTAACATGCCTTGCCTGGCTGTACTTACAAGTTTGAAATATGAGAGACTTGTTCAGAAAGATTTGGAGAGCATGGATTGATGTCTGGTCCCTCTTAGTCCCAAGAGCGAACTCTCCCCCAAAACAAAGAGCACAAACAAAAGCCTTCCCCCCACCAAGATTTGAAAGTATCTTGTCCCCTTATTGGTCCTTTGGGTCAGGTATCAGCCAGGTTACCTGAGCTTCTTAACCCTTTACAGGTAAAAGGATTTTGGAGTCTCTGGCCAGGAGGGATTTTATAGTATTGTTCACAGGAGGGCTGTTATCCTTCCCTTTATAGTTATGACAAGGCTATTCAATAAGTATTATCCATTCAGTGCACTGAATAAGGCAGGGATATGGTGGAAAAAATAGTATTTGATTGTGTGTAATTAAAAAACTGTATTATAATGAAGAGGCACAGGGGGGTTGAATTAAGTTTCCGCAGACAGCTTTACTCCTGGCATTTCCTAGTCTTTTTGAGTGCTTTACTTTTCCATCTCAATGTTCTTTTAACATAATTTTTTTTTAAATAATGTAATTGTTAATACAGTCCCCAAAAGTGTGCTAGGTGCTGTACAGGAAAAATAGAAAGACAGGCTTCCTGTCCCCAAGAATCTTATAGTCTAAATGTGTCACAACAAGTGAGAAGAGGAGGATTAGGAAGCACAAAGGTTACAATGATGAGATCACATTATTATTCAGTTATGGTGTGTGCACACTGATGATTTTATTAATATAAAAATGTTTGTTTACATGCTCTAATTATTTGGTGGCTTCTTCAGTGATTTCCACACTCTCCACTCCCTTTTCAGAAGGTTCACACTGCAGATAGGACACCTGAATAAATTTCAGGTTGAATTTACTCACGAAGTCCCTTCAGGGTTGGTTGAGAGGGAGGAAAAATGGTGCTTCAGTCCCCACTTGTGGAGCTTGGTTCCTTGGGACACTGCCTAGGAAAGTCTCCTCCGAGTTGGGTGAAAAAGGATTAGTGTGGCCCTCCCATTTTCCATGCATGCTTACCCTGGTCCCCTGCAAGTTTTTCCTCTCTCTTCTGGTGGAAGTGGAGGCAATGATTTGTCCCAATAGCATCTGCAAAGATGAGAATTTACCCATATGTATCTCCTGCCCATACTTAGGCCTACATTTAATAATGTAGTGATGGAAATCTTGATATGCCTGGGGGGGCATGCTAATGTTACTGTGGAAATCTTAACTTTTTGGTCCCAATCTGGGTTTGGATATTTACATTTGTTACAGTACTATGGCCTGAATATCTTTTGTACAATTCGTATACATAGATACAATAATCATAACTTATGACCCATAGAGAACTTATGGTAAAGTGGTTGCTTCTTTTTTAAGAACTATATTTATGCAGTACTCATTAAATACTTAGGGAGTAACTGGTTTAACTGACTAATGCAATTAATTCTACTAAGCTGTTCATTGCTTTAGAGTTCCATTTACTGAATTGATCCTGAATTTTATGGTGAGTTTTTTAAATTTATTTTTTTCTTATACAGGAGTTTGCATATGCAGATCAGTGCACTTGATGACATTTCAAGAACATTTAAATATTTTAAGTTGAATTAAATTTCAAAGCTGGTAGATCATATTTGATGTGAATGATATTCAGGCATGTCTGCCAAAGTGCTTACATGGCTCAAACTTCATTTGTAAAAATCAAGGTGTCTCTTTATTCTTTGAGAACAAAGAATAGTCTGATTTTTAAATTTCTTATGCTTAATGTTGTCCTACTTTCCAAATCTTGGCTGGCTACAGAATCCTTCATGGAGATGTGATGGAGGGCACAGTAGTTGCTGTAATCTCCTTATGGACATTCTCCAATTTTTAGTAAAGATTTCAGATTTTATTTTCTCTGTAAAGACTGGGACCAACTGCTCTTTTTATAGCCTAAGAGAATAGTACACTTTTCAAACATCATTAAGATTTAAACTTCTTGTTTGCCAGCTCAGTGGCTTAATGATGTGATGTATTATTCTGGGAGCTCCAGAGAACTTTCAATCATGGTGCTTATGATTTGGTTAAAACTGTTTAAGAGAAGAAAGCTGATTTCCCAATCTCAATTTACCTTTATAGATTTCATTCTTCCTTCTTAGTGATGAGTTGGCTGACTGTTCTTGAAATGAAAAGGATAGAGTTAATGCAGATAGAATGCAAAAGAGAGAAGAGAGCATGAAGTCATGCTTCAAGAAATTTCAAGCAGGGAGAGATGTAATAGTCTTTTCTTCAATATCAGTCTGAAAAGAACTTCAGGAAACTGGATCAGAATGGATGCAAAAAAAAGTTAGCCTTTTTAGTGTGCTCACTTGGTGCACATAGGTGGTGCCATGTACCTGGTGGCTCTTTAAAATGGCACCTGGGTACAGGGGGGGGTATATGTTTGTTTTTACTGGATTTCAGTGCTATCCAGGGAAATTCATTCTGCAGGATAAGTAGTTTGCAAATGGAATCCTGGCCCCATTTAAGTAAATGAGAGTTTTGCCATTGGCATCAATATGGGGCCAGGATTTCACCCACATTTACTAATTTGTTATAAAGATTTTTTTTAAAAGGTTGACAGTACATGTTATTTTCTGACCTGTGTATTAAGAGAGAAGAGGTCAGATATGCAAGATAAGGGAATATAAGCTGTGTGTTACTTATATTTTTGGACCCCTTTGGAAGAAACTAACAAAATAGAACTAAACATGAAAATAAAAACGTTATTGGGGACTTTATATACAATGATGGATTCAGAATTGTGACAAGCTGTTGTAGTTTAGTAACAAAGTGTTGTTAATTTATTTGAATTAATCTAAAATCTGCATTGCTATTAAAGAAATTTAAACAATATGGCAGTTGAGGTACCCATAATGCATTAAACTGGAAATAAAACCAGCTTAAAATCCCCTCAAAATCAACATCTCACTTGTAGATAAATCCTTGCCCTACTGTTTTGGCTACTAAGTGAAGCAAGGCTTCCCATTTCACTTATTCTTGAATTGAAATGTGAAATCATTACAACAGGGCATGTCTTTGAAGACAGGAAAACAATTATCCTGTTGTTTTTGAATTGCGAGAATGTTATGCATGTAAAGACCAACTATATTTCATTCCTGTGTTTTCAGGTCTCTGTGGTCAATCAGTTGGATATGCAAGTCATCGTTTCTAATGTTCCTCCCACTCTTGTGGAACAAAACAAAGATCAACTTATAGGGTAATGCATTTATTTATTATATAAATACCATATGTGCAGTTCACTGTGTTTATTTTTAGGTTCAGCAAGTGTTAGTCACTATGCGCTGAAGTTGGATAAAAGTTTTATTGAATGAGAGTAAGGAAAGAAGTATTTGGAAAGAGAATAGTACGAAAGATCGAACATTGAATATTTGAAGGCACATCTATGTAATTCCAAAAATTCCAGGGTTAAAAAGAAAGACCTGTGTCTTATAACATTTTCCTCTCATTTATATCTGTGCAACCCCATTGACATCAACATTGACTTCAGTTGGGTTGCATGGGTGCAACTCAGGGTAGAATTTTGGCCCGCAAATGTTTGTCATGTGGTCAATATTCGACTTGCATTATTATTAAAATTTTCATACAATGATAAAGACATTGTTAATGGTAAGTGATTTTTTATTTTAGTTACAAGGTATCATGCAAAGACATTAGCCATATGTAGTGGAGAAAAAGATAATAATAATTGAAACTCTTAATGCTTTGTGACAAAACTGAAGATTTTTGCTATATTGGAAACTGTCCAAAATCATTTTTGTAAGATATATGTTAATATACTTCATATTCCAAACATACAATAATCTCCAGAAGTGTCAGGATTTCATGGTTAGTTTCTCTTTTAAGTCGAGAAGAAATTGCTTCACTCTGTCTCTTCAGCAGTGCAACCATAAATTAATCTAAACAGGAGAGAAAATATTTGAACTTCCAGTTTAATTTCTCTCATGAGATCAGGGAAGAAAGTTGTTTGGCTTATTTATGACAGAAATTGCTAAAGGAGATATTCACTTTTTTAGCTTTTGCTCTTCTATCAGTTCTTTAAGGCAGTGAGACGGGATATTCAGCAGATTGCAGAAGTTTCATTCTATCTTGGCTGTCATTGTAATCTTACTCCCCTTGAAGAATGAGATGCATTAGGAGTAATGATGTGCTTATCCACAGAAAAGGAAGAGCATCATCCCCATAATACCTCTTGTCTCCTCTCTCCTGGAAAAAAATTGTGGTTACTCATGAGGATGTAGGTTTTTCCCCCATCCCCCATTCTATTTTGAGTTCAGCTGCTAGATTCTAATGCCAAAAACACTACTGAAATTGTCTAGGCAATGGTCTATACGCAGTGACTCTATCTCCTAGATCTATGAATAACAGAAATAGACATCTGCCACCTAACAGTAGGAACTTTCCTTCAAAAAAGTGGCAGTTTTTGGCATTGTCTACAAAGATAAAGAGCTTATCCTTCAATTACCTTTCAATTATAGGTATGGGTATTATTTGTCTCTCCTTTGCTAAGGTTTCAAGTTGAGTTTATCAGGGTGTGCCATGCAGTAATATCTTCTTTTTACAAGATGAATAATGTATAGACTCCCTGGGCTCCAGCTTTACTCAAATGGAATGATGAAGATTTCGAGGATGAAGGATGAGATTTTGTACTGTCTCTAAGAAGCACATCACAGAACTTACAGCCCAAAGGAATGGGGCAGGCCAAACTGGCTTTAAGCCATCTTTGAGCCCTCCCAATTCTGGACTGTTCCAGGCGTCATGGCAGTTAGTGTAATTTACACAACTCTGGGTGGCTGCCTAAGTTATAGGAACCTTCCCATAGCTGTCTATGGGTGGCAGCAATGCTTAAAACCTCAGCAATGCTATGTGCTGCAGCCCCACCCCAAACATTCTCCTCCCAGTCCCAAGGGCACCCGGTGTGCCTCTACAGCAAGACTTGTGAGAAGGTCATCGGAAGACAGTTTTTGGCCATCTTCATCAGTCCTGTGGCTGAGGTAATTCTTCCCCAGCCTGATTTGGGATATTCATCACTCCTTTATGTTGTTCCACTCCTTTTATGTGGCATAAAGGATTTGGACCATACGTGAGACTCTTACCCAAAGAGTCCAGATTGTACTGTGGTTGATTCTTCTGAATATATGTAATGATAAAATATGGCTCAAATGAACTCAGATGAGATTATACCTTCAGTAAAACATCTGCCGGAAAATGAGTATACTGCAAATGTAACAGTCCTGCCCTTAATGATAAACATTATAAACTGCTTTCATTAAGACAGATTATCAGTTTATATTAGAATTGCATGAATTTTGGAAAAAGTTGTTATGGAAAACTTGTTCAAATAAAACTGTTAATTTGTTTCAGCAGCATTCACAATTAAACTCTTTTTATCCATTTTCTAAATATGTCTATAGATTTGACTGTTTTAGTTAGGAAAAATATTTGCAGAAACTTGAAGTTTCAAGACTACTCCTACAAATATATATTTGTCTGAAAGTTTCAGCCGGAAATATATTTGCATGGTCTTCTTGAAATTCCTTTGATTTTCCTCCTGCTGTTTATAAAAGCGTTAATCATTCAATCAGGGTGTAAAAGCTAAATGTGATTTATATGACCCATCAAATGCTACACATAACAAATAATGAATAATCAAAGAAACAGTGAATGCAAATAGTTTGTGAACCACCCATAAGTTGAAATATTTTTGCCTGAAGTGTTTTCTGAACAATTTCAATAATGAACAAATTCATAAAAAATAGAGCATTGACGTATAATTCATGAACAGAAAAAAGAGCTACATTCATCAAATAAATTATGTTCTACAGAGGATTTGCTCGTTTGCACTAAAGTTACGCTAAATAAAAATGTTAACACTGAAAGATCCAAAAATCTAACCTCTGACAACTGTAACTATTTAGCGATTGGGAAAGTTGGATATTTAGTAACTTTGACAGTGGTAGAGATTGTCAGAATAAAGTAATATTTAAAGTGGCTACAACCTATTCAGAAATATATATTGTTGGTCTTTCAAATGAGAACAGTTAACTCAGCCAAACCTCAGATGTACCTTGTACAGATGGTCAGTGGCTGGAATAAAAGAATATTCTATACATAGAATTAAAATTTCTGTTCTATGTTCATTTTGCTTTAAAGTATTGGCTTATTAGAAAGAGATAAGCAAAGTACCTCTGGCTGACATTTCAGATAGTGCCATGATCCTGTAAAGTCATTCAATAAACACTACAGACTTCCCCTGACTACTTCAATTTCATCAACCAGCTGTCAATGTCCCCTAGTCTACACATCAATGTCAAACTCCCCATTTCATTCACCCACTTCAATTAAGGCTGTTTGGGGTAGGTCCAGCTAGGTCTGCTACAGCTGCAGTAGTGCTGACAGAGGAAAAAATGGGTTTTGCCTTATTGGAGAAATTGATGTGTGCTCCCTTCTTCAGAATATATCTCTTTTTGGAGGCAGGGAGCAGAATTAGGAACTGTTTTCATATTTATTTAAAATATGCAGTATGTCTCTTTATGAATAGGGTACAGTCTATAAAGGAATGTGTGACTCGTGGCTCTGCGCTTCCCGGTTTTAGCTAAAAACACTTGAGGGAGGCTGATCTTGTGCTACTTGCAGCTAGGATGTACTAGAAATGTCATGTGAAAGCAAATTCTCATGAGACTTGCACCCCAATTTTACAGACCCTAAGTCATGTTACCCAAGACGAAATAATGTGTGGAGTGGCTAAAAATTAAAACTTCTTGAAATATTTGTAACTATTTCTAGTTTCCTGTGATGGGGTGTCCACAAGGCCTGAGCAGGTTAAAGAGAGCCTGTTAACCTTGTAGGCTGCACCTGGAGGAGAGCCAGGGGTAGATGAAGCCCAGCGGGGCAGGGGTAGGCTGGGCTTGTATAAAGTCAAGGAGTTGAGAGCAAGAGGAAGCTGGCTTGCTCGGCTGGTGGCTGGTGGCCAGAATGCAGGCTGGGAGAGGCTGAGAGCTGTAGCTTGTAACTCAGAACTTGGGGGCAGCTTGGGTTGGTCGCTGGTTGGCTGACTGAAGAGAACTAGAAAATGAGGGAGGAGAAGCAAGGAATGAGGAATAGCTTCAGATTAGGAAGAAGAAAACAAGAATGGAAATATCTGTATCTGAACAAAAGGTAGCAGACTTGGCTGGTGTATTTGCTATTTGTGCTGTATTGTTGGTCACCTAAGTCAAATGGTCTTGCGTCTCTTCCCTAAATGGATGACCTAAGTTGTAGAAACAGCAAGAATCCATTTTCTGGCCATAGATTATTCATAGGCATACTTAATTTTTTCCAAAAATCTGTTGTATGAATAATCAATACAGCTTGTCAAAACAGCTTCAAGAGCATTTGTGGTCAACACATTTTCATAAATGTGCTATTATTCACAGTGCTTGCTTCCTGCAAATAAAACCTATTCATCTGAATGTTTGCAAATAAAAGATATTACAGATACCAGCTAAGTAAATTGGAAGGCTGTGTTTGCAAAAATAAATAAATAAAACAAACCACAAATACAGTCTAGCAGTTCTTACCAAGCTATAGTTTGGAAAATAATATGTCATAGATATGTAGATGGTACATGACTACAAATAACCCATGCAAGAAGATGACAATGACACAAATGAAAA